TATCCTTTATGTTTGTTTGTTTACCAAAAATAAAATGCTCTGATCGCTCTTTTCATATCTTTAAATAAAGAAGTCAGGCTAGGTAACCCCAAAGGGCTCCTCAATTCTAATTTTTTGTGATTCTATGGTTCCAAAAGATAACATTGTAATTACTGTTGGCTTAGAAGTATATCTCTCAAAATGCTAGTCTTGACACAGATACCAAGCCCTTAATGAGATTTTAGTTGGTAGCTCAGAGTTGTTGACCCCTGGTCATACTCCAGCCACCCAGAGCCCAGGGAAAGCTGAGTGAAAAGTAAAGGTTTGAGAATTAAGAGGCCAAACTTGGGTAATCAACAGTCAAGTTACATATACAAAAATGAACACCTTCATGAAAACATCATAAATATACACCCAAAATCTGCCATACTCCAATTTCAAGTCTCAGTGTTAGATTTTGTACAACTGGTTCCCTCTCAGACTGGGAAATCTACAGATAAAGTGTTTCCTTTTTCCCTCTTCCGACATCTTTAACTCACCTTCCCGTTGTTACTAATTTTGCTTCTGTTCACGTTTAGATTTATTGTAGAGCAGCTGCTTTCATTTCTACCTTAGCTTTTACTAAAGTGTAAACTTTAATACAGTGATGCTGGGAGGTGTCCCTACACTGGTCTAGGGCTCAGGAATCAGCACTTTTTTTTAAAGCTCCTCAATTTATTCTAATGCGCTGCGAGGCTTGAGAACCACTGTCCTAGAACACTGTGAGGAGGCTGCTCCTCTGTCTGGCCTCCAGGGGGCAATCCAGCACGTTAACATGACTGAGAACAATGAGAAGATGCTGACACTCCCTGGGGACTGGTGAGAGGGCTGAATTTGGGACAGAAAAGGATAAGGCTGAGAATTAGAAGCCTGAATAATATTGAGGTCACTGAAGGCAGATTTTCTTTAAAATCCTCCTGAACTTTAGGAAATTCTGTGACCAACTGTTTCATTCTCTTACAAGTGCAATTTTCCCAAACCCTTTCTTATACCCTACCCCAGGCTTATAAACCTCTTCATTCAGAGAACCTCCCAATTCCATGATCATTTCTTTGGCTAGAATTCCCTTTATAACAAGTCCACCCTTTATAACAAACTCCTCTCAGAAGAATGACTTGGTGAAAAACAGTTGTCTCCTTTTTCTAAACAGGTCACCCTAACCTTTACACACACCCATGGCTATTCATGTCATCCTTGTCTCTTCTGGAATGACAATTTCAACAGCAAGGATATAAAGGTCTTCTGAAATATTTCTCAGAAAACAACCTAGATAAAGGCCACAGAAGTTTTGTAGTTTATATGTAAAGATATACCAGGGTAATGGTGAGTTCTGGGGTTGGGAGGTCTCAGGTACGTGGTTACTTCAAGGAGCTCAGACACTGTCATAATAAAAATTTGGCTGCCTACCTACCTGGTTAAGAATCAGTAGTGGACACTGAGACAATGATCTTTTATAAACAAACCCATTTAATAGCCTTTAAAAATAAAGTATTATTACAAAGAAATTAGAAAAAAATCACACCAATTTAAAAAAAGACAATGAATATGAAAAAATAATTTCCAAATTAAGAAATAAAAATAACAATAAAAATATGAAAGAATTCAACCTCAGTGATAAACAAATACACATTAAATTATGAGCAGATATTTTTTCTCTACAAATTTCAAATGATTTTTAAGCATTAGACTCTCTGGTGTGTCTAAGGATGTCATGAAACAAAAACTCTTAGAGTAATGTTATAGAAATATCAATTTGTACAATCATTCTAGAGGGTAATTTGTTAATATATATAAAATTATTTCACTCATAATTTCTACATCAAGAAATCTACCTTAAAGAAATAATCAGAAAAATTGACCACAAATGGACCAAAGCAAATCTCAAGTATTAAAGAATCAATATCATACAGATCATGTTCTTTTACTACAATGAACAAAGTTAGATACTATTAATAAAAAGCAAACTTCGAATAAAAAGAAATACACTCCTAAATAATTCATGAACCACAGATGAAATCATAATAGAATTGCTAAAATATTTACAAATGAACAATAATGAAAAGTCGACATTTTAACACTTGTGAGATGAACCTAAAGCAGTACACAGATAAAATTTTATAGCCTTAAAAATATATTAAACATAATGATTCTATATTTGTATATATTGTGAATGACCACCACAAGAAGTCTAGTTAATGTTCATTACCATACTTAGCTACAAAATTTTTTTTCTTGTGATGAGAACTTTTAAGATTTACTCTCTTAGCAACTTTTCCTTAAACTAACATAACGTGGTATGTCAATTATACTTCAATTAACAAAAGTGTTATTATTATTTTTAAAATCACACTTATTAAATATATATATATTAAAAACAAAAAACTGAACATAATGAGCTAAACATTCAATCAAAAAGTTTTAAAAAGGAGTAAGAGTAAACAACAAAAGTAGGAGGAAAAAATAGTAAGAATAAGTTAAAATTAATGAAATAGAGACAAAGAAGTAAGGGAAAGGATCAATTTTAAGTGGCCCTTTGAAAAGAATTAGAAAATGGACAAATCTCTCGTGAGAATTGTCAAAGAAATAAAGAAAGAAGACACAAAAAATATTGTGTAAAAGAAGATAGTAACTATAGGCACAGTAAAAATTTAAATCATTACAAGAAAATGCAAGGAATAAATTCATACAAATAAATTTGAAACTTGGACAAAATGTAAAACTTTCTAAAAATTGTAATCTAGCAAAACTGACAAGAAAAAATAGAAATTTTGAAATCACATGTAAATTCAAGAAATTTAATGCTCTGTACACACATATATAGTTTTACAGGCAAGTTACATCAAACCAAGACCAATATTTTCCATATTATACAAACTGTACCTAAGTACTGAGAATAATAAAAACAGGAAAGCTACTTAACACATTTTATGAGACCAAGAGAACAAGGAGAAAAACAAGCAAAAATAGATGACAAGCAAAAATTGTAGACCAATATTACTTACATAAAGCAGTGACAGCTCCTAAAAATATTATCAAACTAGCATTGAATATTAGAAAGTAATGCTAATACATCATGATCAATTAGGATTAACACAGGAGTATAAGGAAGGTTTAATATCAGTGCAACATACCACCTGAATATATTAACTCTAAAATTCTCTCACTAAATGCAGAAAAATGATTTGTCAAGTTTAACATGTGTTTATAATTAAAATCTCTTTGCAAACTAGGAAGAAAAAGGAACTTCCTTAACCTGACAAAAGGAATCCTTGAATTTCTTTTAAAGTGAGATGTTAAAAGCATTCCCTTCAAAACTTGAAAAAGACACATTTCCAGTATTATTCTTTCTATTCTACATTGTACTAAAGGTCTTAAGAAGTGCAGTAAAATAATAAAAACATTAGGACTAGAAAGGAAGAAACAGTTATCATTAATCACAGATGCTGGTTCCATTTCTGTGGGAGGAAACGTAGGAAATGAGCCTAGAATATCTGGTCATACAGAAAACTAGGAAGCTGTCAAAGACTACAAGCCCATGTCAAAAGGACTCAAGAGCCAACTGGAAAAGATTTCTGTCCATCCACGATGTAATCTATGCAGAAATAGAAGTACAATGATGTACACCTGAAATTTTTACAATGTTATAAACCAATGTTACTGCAATAAACAAAAAATTAAAA